TTTGCTTTCCGAATGCAATATTGGGCTTCAAGTTTAATTTGTGAAGTTTCCGTACCAGTGGTGTTGTTCTGTTTTTGGTGGGGTAAAGTTGCTAACCTCACACCCAACTTCCCCTCTTTATCGCGCTTACTGCCGGCTTAGTGAGGTTTAGGAGCTCACCGAACAGAGATCAAACCCCGGATGACCTACACTGTGGTTGGCGAGTATTCTACGGCCACACCACTGACGCCACAGCTGGTATGCTCTTATTGAAAGTTCTACAATTTCCAGTGAAATATTAGTTCTCATTACTGTATCGTAATGAAAGTTGAAGTGTGACTTATAACTAAATAATTTAATAAAAATTGTTGGATGAAAATGGATCCTACCACTGGTTAGACAGTAAAATATCTATATCTATGGATAAAACGGAATAAATCATGAAGTATTAAAAACCGAGAAACATTGAACCTTCGTTCCATCCTATTTGCTAATAATTCGCCTGTCTCTACCAATGATTACACCAAACTTCGAACTTAGGACCTTCAGTTCCAAAGACCTGACATATGAATACTAGTCAACTGTTAATTAATTAACTGCCTTGAAATGGATTTCCTAAAGTTTGGAGAGGAATTCAGCTGGGTGTACAGTTAACCATATAGGTTCTATGTTACCAATTGACAGAGTTTGGAATTAATGAATAATCCCCATTCAGACATTAATGAAAACAAAATACGTAGTTCAGCTAAAAGGCTTTTTTTGGCGAATTCCGTACTAGCCAACTGTTTTGTGGCTAGCCTTGAGAACGGTCGACTGAAGTCAAACATTGACAATTTACAGCTGTATAAGAGGTACGTAGATGAAATTTTCATCATTTACGACAATAGCTACGACCCCAGTCAATAGATACAAATATTTAAAAACAGCCATCCAGCAATAAAATTCAATCTGGAAATGGAAAACAAGTCAAAAATCCCCTTTCTTGATGTGGAATTAACAAGACGACCTAACGGAACTTAAAGAGAGTCAGTCTATAGAAAACCCACTAGGAGCGGTCAACCAACAAGTCCCTGCAGTCGTGTGCCTACTGAATGAAAATCAAATCCATCTCCACCAACATCTGACGCATCTTCAGTCCTGACGCTCTAGAAACAGAACTAGGTCTTATGAAAGAAGCCTCCATCCAGAATGGATACTCACCAAAATTCATCGGCAACAATATCAGAACAAAAACCCAGATGAAGGAAACATTACTTGTTCCGAAAAAGAAACTTTACATGGAACTGGATTTCAAGGGAGACGTAGCCTGCGATATCCCTAAGAGACGAATGTCAGTGTCTTCTCAAAGATGAAAAGAAGAACATCCTTTGCAGCAATGTTAAGAGTAGCGTTCTCCATTCGTCCATTGGTCTGAAGAAGTCTCAAGGACAAGATCTGTCATCTGACCACGTCTGTGTACATATATCAGTTCACCTGTTGCTGTGAAGCCAGGCACATTGACCTTTTAATGCATATCCTGTCTAAATTTGTTCAAAAAACACTATCCTGCATGGCAGCAGAGAGGTAGTAGTGGCTCCATAATGACTGAGATAATCGAACATCTCGTCAACACTGGTCATTCCATCTTAACAAACGCCTCCTTCAGATTAATCTACAAAATGAAGAACAACCTACAAAAGGCAATACTCTTTCGTCTCCTTTGCATTTCTGAAGCCTTAGTCATTCAGTTGAAAAGACCAGAGTTATGCATGCAAAGAAAATTATTCGATTATATCTACTGTAGTGGTAACATACGTGTTGATTCCCACTGACTTGATTTTTGTTTGCTTGTTTTTTAACTCCTTGTAACTTTTGTATTTCTTCAGAACTCTTGCATTGTTCAATATTTTACTTCGTTTCTATTTGCATCCTGACCACAAATCACATCTTATTACGTAACTATAATACACTTATTCAACTTCTTTTTGGTATTGACTAACATTAACACTATGTTTGTGACAACTCATCACTTTTGTTACTATAATCTTACAGTAAGGAAAATGTTTATAAATGCGATTGTACAGGTAAAGAAAACGAATTCGCCGAAAAGAGCCTCTTTTCTGAATTACACGCTTAGAATTTAGAATTCATGGTCCACTGCGTCTTGACTCACTAGTTGATTGATGAGTTCTTCTTGTAATCTGAAGATCCCTGATTCCGTCTTTAGTGAGTTCACATGTATGCAGCTGTATAAACCTACGAACTAGAATAAGAAGGCTACCTTATGCTTCTTGGTTTTCAATGGATCTCTGAAGGACCTTTTTTATTCAATGGTGAGATTCACCTTAAATAGACGAAATCGTCAGATAAACGGAAATATGAAAGCGTGGATTAATCTTGTTCCCATTTTACTGTAGTATACTTCATTATATCAATCTCATTACTGTATCCTTCAAAATATTCTTCTATATCACTTAAAGCGTTCAGAAACATTCTTTTCCCTGCACACACACAGTGAACATAATTATAATTTGTGTAATATTCATTATTGAGATAACAAGCATTTTCTGGTCATGTTGATGATATTGATTCGATTAATTAGCAGCTCTTGACACTGATTGTCTCACTCTGAAAGACTTTAATATGTCACATGTTCATAATTTAAGTGGTTGAAAAATTGTTTTTGAGTTTGGAATATTTTAACTGGTTTTTGTTGTTGTTGTTGTTTATTTCCTATATCCATGCAATCTATTTATTGCCTTGTTAGATATACAGTTTTATAAAACTACCTAATTTCTAAAGGAAATAACAATGTTATGCGACAACTTTGTTTCTGTTAAGATAAATATGACTGACACATGTTGGTTAACATCTAAAACCCAGAAAGCTTATTATATAAGTTATTGCAGGAGGCGAATGGGAAAATATTGTTAACTCCCAAGAAAATGATTGTTTGAATAACTAAGACGATGACGTAAACTCATCATCTGAAGCCTTTTTGAATATGTCTTACTTATATAAGTACCTGAAAATCACAAATCCAGATTCCAAACTTACATTTTCCAACTATTCGACATCAAAAGGTAGTCATCAAATCACATTGCATATATTGCAAACCATGCCTACTGATTTATTTTTGTGTGATATAAACGAAACTGTTAATTGCACTTAATGACTAATCAGTGTAAATACGAAACCTTTTATGGGGAAATATTCGACTGAGAAGAAGAAGAAGAAGAAGGAGCAATCATCCTTATGCTGCATGTCCATTAGAGTGACAAGATATTTCCGAAATTTTGAATCCGAAGTGACCGTTTTCACTGACTGAACCATTACAAAGTCACAATGTCTAAAAATACAAGTGTAATCTAACTAACTGTGATATTTTTGATCTCAGTTGTGTAGGTATCAAGATAAAGGTTATTAATGAAATAACCTTATATTCTTATAAACGTCGATCACCAAGCTAACGTTCACTTTGTCTTTTTAAAGTTATTGAATTCGTAAATATTAAGTATACTGTATAATTTACTCATTGTTAGTTAGTTCGCTAATCATAAACTTATATAAGAAGAGTTATTCACCTTAATAGGAAATCTAGTTCTGTCAGCTGTCAGTGTGTAAAATACATATCTGTCTAATATTTCAGGTGTTTTTAAGTATTGATTTCAGTATTAATCATAGACTGAATTCAGTTCGAGAACCAATGAAAAATAGGGAGTACTTGACAGCCGTTTCGCCTCTGTTTAGGACTTTTCAGCGGGACGCACCCATTTAGTGTTGGAAGCGGTGATTTAACATGTCAACCTGATCCCCCCTCCCACCTCTATTTTTGTGCTTGTTATTACTTATTACCAAAGCATTTATACGATCATGAGAAAACTCATATTCCACTTGAGATGATGAACTGACTTCATTTTATACCAGTGTCACTTATTTTACCTGAATGATGTTCGGATCGTGACTAACTTCCTATTGTGCTGCACTGCATGTAAGCAACAGTGTTGTTGGATGGCAATGAATGCATTTGTTGAGACTGTTGAAGGATAACCACTTAGATCTGTATTCACTTGATAAAGTACTAGTCCCTTTTCAAAATACAGAGAATAAATGTGATTCAGATCACTTCTTTTTTTAATTACGTTCAAGAAAACAAAGTTCAGCTTATTATATCTGTAGTATCAAAGCTTGAGAAGAGATAAAAAGTGGTAATAATCTAGAAAATTTACTGAGTTTATTACTTAATGTACTAAGAAATAAAACTGTAGTCACATGTAAGAATAGGCGTAGTTTTCATTCATTTTTATAGGGACCTGAAATAATTTCATGTAGGTTCGATTATATTCACTGATATACTCGTTTGTGTGTACGTGTGTGTGTGTGTACTTGAGTATTTTCTATCACCAGCTTTCACAGATTTCATATTATGTGTTTGTATAAGTGAATATTAAGCAATTTCTCAGGTACTCTGTCACTTATGTCCCTTATATGAACTCATCTTAATTCATCTGTCTTCGTTAAGAACCTTTTTATTAATAATATGACCTTTGTGTTCTTCTTTCAACTCCAAAACATGATTATATAATCGATATTATCTATTCAATAAGTAACCTAAAAGTAACCACATCAATCTGATGATAGATGTTTTGATGTAGTGGGTGGCCTTTTGGTTGATTGTGATCATGTGAAAAAGTGTATCGTTGACTGAAAATTCCTTTCACCAGAATTTATTAGTATTATGTGCTTCAGTAATTCAATAATAGACACATATATGTGGTCTGGGTTGCATTCCTAGCTGACGTACTCGTAAACCTTGCAGGTTGGGAATGAGACTAGCAATCCCACCTGCATAAACAACATCACTGCTACTGAAGCAGCAAAAGTTTGAAGTTTTATATTCCACTCTCTTAACACAAGGAATGCAAAATACTGAACTTTTGAAATTGTTAGTATTCTTCGGATTATATTTGATTAAGCGTTTCAAAGGAACTAATTATTTGTTTTGTTTGTTTGTTCTTTTTTCTTTCTTTTCAAATGGATAGGATCCTCGTGAAGCTGAAGAAAGACGATATTTAATACGTCAGAATAAAAAGTTATTGAATCAGGTAAGCAAGCTAATTCAATAGAAATATGAATAAACTCTTCCTCCCTTACCCCCTACCCTCTCTTTTACTTATACTAGTTATTTGAATCAGCCAAGAAAATCGAACGACTTGAAGTGACTAAAGTAGAAATGAAAGAACAATTGGAGCTGTTGGATTTTCAAATTGTTGAAGTTGAAAATCAAAAAGCTATGGTACGTTATACCCTCTCATCTTATAGTAATCAAGATAACTTAACATAAGAGACAGGCATAGATATGAAGAGACATTTACATCAATCATTTTTTTGTATTTTTTATAGATGGAAGAAGAGCTGAGAAAAATACCACCGACTGTACACGAAGAAACTCAAACTGAGGTAAGATTCTATTGTATCAATACTATTTCTTTACAATACTATATGCATATAAAGATTAGAGATGGACAATAAAAATTTCCTAGACATATTTCCTTCATTTTATAATTATGTAATATGTTGTAGGCATTTGATGGAAGTGTAAATGAGCACTAGGATGTGCATGTGTTTAAGGAATAACAGATGGGATGGATATAAAAGTGATCCACTGTGAAACTGATTCCCCTTTAAATTCATTATTCGTAGTCGTTTGATGCCAAAATTGATATCATCTCGAGGTGGTAATAAATTGCATCAGTTGCGAAAAACTCTACAGTGGCCAAAGTAGACGTTTATGGGGCTTAGCACTAAAGAATATGTCAAGAGACAAAATGTGTATAGCGGCATATCGGTGGACATGTTGACAACTATGAACACAGAAAATCAACGAAACATTCATTAGTAATGCAAGCGAACAAGTAGATAAGAAAACTCCGTGAGACAACCTAACTCAGACAAGTTCATCAGAGAAGACACTTGTTTCACTCATGGAGAATTCTTATATTTCATTTCACAGCCTAGATGGACATTGAAGGCTTCACAATTAAACTACCTAGACCAGTGATCCCAACATATGCAGGACGCAGCTGTTTATTTGCTGGGTGTATCCAACATGTCCGGTCACAATGTTCATTATCTTATATAGATATGATAGAGAAGATTTGTAGCTCAGGTGGATGATTTTAATGTGGTTGTGTTCTCTGAGCTGGATAGTTAATTTGCGAAGCTCACATAGCCCTTCTTATCGGTAAGAAAGAAAACTCACACACAAAGGGTCGAAGTTCAAGTCAAAGAAACAATCAGTTCCACTAAAAGTAATCTAGAGGGTGTGAAAATACACAAAAACAACCAATCATGTCCAATGTTACCGGGAGAGATGATTAATAAACTCGTGGAGAAATCTAAAAGCTCACTTCAACGAATTGAAGTATGCGCTGAAGATGTCGTCTAGTAGGGCGATGGAAGCTTCGCAAATTAACTAACCAGCTCAAAGAACACAACCACATCAAAATCATTATATATATATATATATATATATATATATATATTATGAATGTTATGGTGAAGATTTCATGACAAGATCCAATATTTGGAAGACATTTTGCACTTACTGACATCATAGTCTTTGGTCACTTTAACTGCCAATATTGTTCACGATTGTGCCTTACTAACATCCTCAAAATTTCAGTTACTTCGTCCTCACTGATGTCTGTCTGTCTGTTTTCGACATAGAACATTGCACATATGTGCGGCAGTTCAAGTCGCCACACTCCCTCCATGTAGCACACAAAGCAAGAGAAGAAAGTAGAAGAAATGCATATTAGAGACAGTAAACAGAGGTGTGAGACAAAGGAATAGTAATAACAAAGAACAAAATAGTATCATTGGAAATCATAAGTCACAGGGAGTGGATGCATCTGCGCCATATCACAAATTGTTTCAATCCATTGGTTTTTACCGTCCCGAGGACCCCAACCAGTCAGGAAGTCTACACCTTCCTCCGTGGCTTAGACTAACTGTTTTAGGTTTCATTGACTGGTGAAGCCATGTTTTGGTTTGACTGCCGCTAGCTTTTTTCCAGCCTGTCCCTATATCCGCTAACATTGCCCGTCAAGGAAGGCAATGACTAGGCATACGTAACACGTATCCTAGCCATCTCAGTCAATGTAATTTCACAGCCTCGGTTCAAATGATACTAATTGGTTGCCTAGTGAGTTGGCTGATGTGGTTTTAGAGGGAGAAGAAATCTTTGATTTTATATACACACACGCATTTTGACAGAATTGGACAGTTAACAAGTGTTTCAATAAGCTCCTGTTAATGCTGACGCGTATGAAATATCATATTTATGGCAAAGCTATAAAAAAATTCAGTAAAAATATTTTTTAGTAAACTGAGTTATTAAAAATAGAATAGATCGAATTGTTTTCTGGCATAATGAAAAGCTACTCGCTTCACTCAGTCCAGCGACAGTAATAGTTACAGCTTTTAGAATTTTGTTCATTACTCATTCAACTTTAGTTGTTATTGGTTGTATGAGTGAGTTGTGAGTGCGTATTGATCTCAGTATGTATGTATATCTAACTAAATGTGATATGTCATAGAGGCGAAAATATATTCATATCCTACTGGCATATCCTGCAATGCAGTTAAATATTTTTCCTGTCGTGGGTAGAAACAATGAGTCCAATATTTTCCAGAAAATGATTTATCATAGTCTGCTACTTGTGTGTAGCCGTTATGTCATGTGCAAACTTTAATTTTAAAAGATAATCTATACTTCCGCTTTGGAAGTTACCGTTCATAGTATAGAATATACATGTATACATATAACTTAGTGTCATTAGAACATGGGAATGCTTTAAAGATGGACACTGCAATTGTGTCTCTAAACTGTATATTTTAAATCTGATATTTCTATCTATTCCATACTTTTTTCTCTCTCCTCTAACTTAACATAATAACACCCAATCAGGCATCTAATATACATTTATCACTGGTCAGTTTTCACTGTTTCAATTGATTAATCGATTAGAAATGGCAAAAAGGTTTTATGCAATTAGTATGTTTGGTTGGCTGTCTATTCGATTGTTATAACTGTCGACCAAAATAAGAAAGAAAATAGAGAAAAAAAAACAACTGACCGATTGATTAGACGACAAACAACATGCGAATGTGTATGTATTCATATTTGTGCATACACGTGAATGTAAATTTACAAAACTGTCTCTGCACATGAACATATATATTAACCCAGCTTTTGTCTAACACGATTATTATGATTATTATTACTTTATTGACTAAGGACAGGGACGACGTCAATGAATCAGATTAGTCACATTTATTAATATATGTATTTTTATTTTAGTTGGTTTGTATGTTAATTCTATTTCGATCTATAATACTATTGTTGTTTTAGTCATTTGTAGTGTTGAAAGTAAGTGGACGTTGTGATGTGTGTGATTGCGTGCATATGTGTGTGTGCTTAACCTATGCGTGTTCTGTTCTGCTTGTAGATATAGTGTGCTAGTTTGGTAGTTTTGCTCATAAAAATATCGTATAGCAATATATATATATATATATATATATATATATATATGCATATCGATAAGTATGTGTATGTGCTTGTGGTGGTAACATGGTCTTAACTCAAAATTATCATATTAACATTTTCGAAGGTTAAAAAGTACCTAGTACTGACCGCTGTATATAACATTAACTTAGGTTATACTTATCTTTACCTCTTTCTCACCACAAGAGATTGAATAAGTCATTCATGTAAGAGACAACTGAATGATGAATGCTAAAATAAAGCTTTGAGATAAGGATAAACTGGGAGAAAGCATTTTATCTTAACAAGTTGATGATAATTCAGGATTTACAAAATTCCTGTGTCATGTGAATAAAGAACACGGAGATCAGCGAAGAGGTTTGTTTTCGTAACATCTTATCAACAATGACAAATCAAAATGGAAGATGGTTAAAAGCAATTGGCAGGAAGACGTCAACCCAGTGCTTGGCGGCACTTCCTCATCAAGAGGTATTTGAAACCCTGAAAGAATTCATATCCCCTCTGAGATTCCAACCCGCGTTACTTAATGCTGTAGTCAAAGTAGTTACGCCACTGAGCTACTTATGCTCGCAACTGACCTCCTATAGGACTGTAATCTATACACTAGTTGCTCAACAGGTAGTGACTAATGTAATGGGTGCACCGCTATGTAGAGCTAACAAGCTTGGTGGCCATATTGCAAACTTGACTGATAAATTCGTTCTGCACCAACATCACATGACATCAACTACCCCATAGTGACGAATCAATATATAAATCAGTGTATGAAAATTGACAACCTATGAAAAATAATGAATGATTGTACATAACAGAGAAAATTGACAACTAATTAATTAAGTATAGAAATATTTACTTAAATATAATGAATTACAAGCAGTGAAAGTGATTCACAACAAAGTAACTACATAGAATTTATCATCCAACAAAACTAGCTAGGGGAATAAAAGAGACTGGGTAAAACGTTATTGAACACAAGGTTTGGGGTTTCACATATGACAAGCAAGGGCTCTAGCCTCATGAAGAAGATGTAGACGAATTCATTTTTACCAGTCCTATCTTAACTTATGAATGATACTAAATAAAACCTTTACAGATTTTGCATAACCATAATTAATACTGCATTCTAGAATTGAGGCTGTCCTCCTGAATTCAATTATAAACCAATTATCTTCTATTGACAATTGCAGTATCCTTACATCCTGAATGCGAATAAGTGCTTCAGTAGCTTACCAAGTTTAAAGCGTCATCTTCTTGGTCCGACTCTTAGACTGAACACCACAAACTTGATGAGTTCAGAAAAAGTGTAAATGTGCGTTCTTGGCCCCTAATTCTAACTCAAATAGGTGCCCACTTGTCCGTTCATAGAACTAATGTGCCATGTTGATACTGGTCGATCCAGTCTAAAACTACCACATGTACCATCCTACATGTTTGTATGGTCAGACGTACGTGAGCGGGACCCATCGATTTTTCAGGTCAGGGCTAAGGAACACATTCCCAATTGGCTGCAAAAATAAATAAAATCGTCCGACTTAAATGATTTTGGTTATGGATGGCTCAACGTCACCTTTAACAAATCACAAAGAAAGTGCTAATAAAGTTACAGGGTGTCATCATGGGCTGACATTAGTTAGAGAACCATTGGAAAACTTGGGAGTACTGGACAGCTGTTTCGTCCTAGTTTGGGACTCTTCAGCAGAACGCGCCCACTGGGATTCGAACCCAGGATCTTCTGGTTACAAGGCGAGCTCGTATACCATTAAGCCATTGGGTGCCGATCCAATGGCCCATGAATTCTAACTTCTGCGAATTCACGATATAGCGCGACCCCTAGTCAGGTTGGGTGTGAGGACAAATACTCACTGAAGACATTGGCTAGGGGTCACGCTATGTCGTGAATTCGCAGAAGTTAGAATTCATGGGCCATTGGATCGGCACCCAATGACTTAATGGTATACGAGCTCGCCTTGTAACCAGAAGATCCTGGGTTCGAATCCCAGTGGGCGCGTTCTGCTGAAGAGTCCCAAACTAGGACGAAACAGCTGTCCAGTACTCCCAAGTTTTCCAATGGTTCTCTAACTAATGTCAGCTCATGATGAAATCTTGTAACCAATCCCTACAAACCAACACTTGAATGGTAATAAAGTTGATTTTCAACCGTCTATTAGTAGAGATTTGATTTGTTTCAAGGCTTTGATATGAGTTTGAGAACCATTGAAAAAACTTGAAACAAATCAAATCCCTACATACAAACTCTTGAAAGTTATCTTTATTTTGTAATAACTCAAAAATGAGAGCTGATGAGATTATACGACCAGATCAAGTGGTTTTATAAATGGATGTGTTCTACAGAACTAATAGTACACTTTATACTAATTAAATATAAATGATTGTTTTCCGATATTTAGTTCATTTGGGTTGTCTAAGCAAATTACACTAGTGAACACTGACTGATATAAACATTGAAATGAAAAAAAAATCAGGAGACAAGAATGAACGCTTGATAGTACATGTGATGCAATAAATCGAATAGTTCATTCACATTCATTCATTCATTCATACATTGGATTCAGCTAACAGTCTCATTTTCAGTCTACTGGAACAACATGGATTTATTTTGTTAAATCTTAACTTTATCTGCAATGCTTTATCAGATAAGATTTTTCAGATAGTCAAGAAGATTTTGATGTTTTCACCTGGCAGACTTTATACACAAAAGTGTACTGAACGTCATACAGAATTATTGAAGACACAATGTACACATAACTAATTTAGAGATTTTCATTCACTATTGCAAACCCATCAGTTTAACAGCATTCCAGCTTTCCTTCCTTTATAAATAGTCCAACCTAGATATTTTTGGGTTTTTTAGCAATCTGATTGATATAAAGGTGAATCTCATAATGAGTAAACGGACTATCAATAAAAACCAAAATATACTTCACTACTCCTTTGTGTGTCGGTGGCACAGCGGTAGATTGCTCTCCAACGACGCATGTGGTCCGGGATTCCATCTCCGGTCGACGCTCTCATTTACCTTGCTAAGTCATTATTAAGACTGGTAAAGGCGTAAGGTTGGGCATGAGGCTAGCAACCCTATCCCGTAAAATAAACACCACTACCCCTGTTCCACTGAGAACGTAAAGGAGTAAAATAAAACACCTCTGATTTGTTCGAGGATTGTTCTGCAGTTCATTTTTATGATACTACAAATAATTTATACTACTACAATTTGTGAGTGTTATCATACAGACTTTCGGTCGGAATCTAATCTTATATGATTAATATCCTCTTCGAATCCAGAGTATGCTACCGCCGAGATGTAACTTTATCAATTAGTAATTGTTCACATAACCTCCATTTGTTATGATCACACATTAGAACTCTAAGAAATTTTATTTTGAAGCTTATCTGTAATAAGTGGTGGATTGAAATCAGCTAATTTGAATTAGTTGACCATTGCAAAAGGCAATAATTTATGATGAATCCCCTTACATGAGGTGTTGCAACTGGCTGATTAATCTACAGCAAGGTATTTTGAAGGAATTAAACTGTGACCTCTTTCAGTAGGCGTTAGTTTTGAAATAAATTACTCTGCTACACTGACGAAAAATTAGGTAATTTCAGAGTTTGACTGTGGGAAATGTCACTGATAGGTTGTCATGTAGCCTAGTTGGACTTTATGAACTGTGTCTAGGGGAATTTGTGAGCGAATAAAAATCTTTAACTAACTTATTCATGACGCTAAATGTTAATTCTCTAAGATGACTTCACACTTTAAAAGCCACCAAAACTGATAGAACACTAACAAGTTAACATTCGTTTTATGTTCCCGCTGGAGTTTGATAGACTTAAATCCTTAGGTGACGTGATAACCTTTCTAGTATTATTAAATGATAATAAATTTTTTTAGATTGCTTTTCTGTTGGTGATTATTATTATTTATTATTATATCCTTTAATTCCTAGAGGAACATAGGGCTTCAGCTGCAAGTCTCCATTGCCTTCGATTTTCTGCCAACTTTTTCACTCCGCTCCAAGTCTGCCCACATGCTTTCATCTCCTCTTCACATGACCTCCTCCAAGTCACCCTTGCACTGACGGCCAACTCGCCGCTTCCCTTTCGGGTTCCACTCGAGCGATGGCCTGTCGTGTGATGTCACTTGATGGTCTCCTCAGAGTATGGCCAATCCATCTCCATTTCCTCCTGCCTACTTGTTTCACAATCGGTTCCTGTTGAGTTGGTTCACTCCCAGAGATCCCTCCCTGCGGCTGATCTTTTCTGGCCAGCCATATGATCTTGAGCTGAATATTGAGCAAAGACAACTGTTGATGAAGGTCTGAAGTTTGCTTGAGGTGCTCTTGATGACACGATGGCCAAGTCTCTGATCCGTATAGCGAGTAGCACTGACTAACTTCGCATTGGAGTTGAAAATCCGGATCTTATTTTTGATGGTGAGTGATGTTGACCTCCACACAGACTTAAGGGTAATGAAAGCTTGTCTTGCTTTTCCGATTCTGGCTTTGATGTCCTCGTCAGTTCCGTCGGCCTGTAGTTCAAACGATGCTTCCCAAGTAGGTGGGTGGGTGAAGGAGGTTGTTTCTTTCAGGTTCCTCCCATTTATGCTGGCTGATTGTCGTCTGTTGTTGATGTCGGTATTGCTGTTGGCCAGGAATCTTCATCACCTCTGTTTTGTCTATGTTCACCTGAAGTCCTATCTTTGATGCTTCTTCTGTCAGCTTGTTGCTTTTCACTTGCGTTACTTCCAGTTTGTGGGAAATCAGACATATATCGTCGGCGAAGTCCAGATCCTCCAAGTTTTTTGTGAGTCCATTTTATGCCTGTTTCCTGATTGCCCGTTGTCTGTCGCATTATCCAATCTACTGCAATCAGGAAGATCATTGGCAATAGTAGGAAGCCTTGCCTTACTCCTGTCCTCACTTCGAAGGCTTCGGTAAGTTTCCCATTGTGGATTACTTGGCATGCAGCATTGTCGTATAACCGTTGGATAAGATGTATAATTGTCGATGGCACCCCGCAGTAGCAGCTAAGTAGTTGCCAAATGACCACTCGATCGACGCTGTCGAAGGCCTTTTCAAAGTTGATGAAGTTGAGTAAGGTGGAGAGGTGACTGCCATTCCAAGCTTTGTTCAATGATGATCCGTAGTGTGGCGATTTGATCAATACATGACTTGTTTCTCCTGAATCCAGCTTGTTCCGGTCCAGAGCTTGTTTGATTCTCTCTGTTTGTGATACAGCTAGCAAATGATTTTGACAAGTTTTATTTAGTATTTTAAGTTACTATGGTGAATTATTCTCCTTTAGAGTAGAACTTTTTAATAGATATGATTGTAACCAATGCTCTGAATCTCAAACAGTCACCTGTCATATTAAAAATGAGATAATATTCTCCTTTATTATTTTATTTATTTCTATACTTCTTATACCATTTAGGAAAACTCTAATAATCACCAATTGATATCTCAATTAAGAGAACAATTAAATCTACTCAAATCAGATTTATCAAATCAAAAAGCAGAAACTGCTGCTGCACAAGCTAAACAAAGTCATTTGGATAATTTAGTCAGAGAGTTACGTCGAGATAATATTGAATTGAGAGATCAATTGGCACGTGCAGATGATGCAGAGAATTCTCTAGCAGAAAGTGACAAGCCAATGGCTGCTGATGTTCGACTACTCAAGGTGAGTGTTGATAGTTTTTCTTGTTAGTATGCCCCCTAACTATGTGTTTTGATAAGTTTTAGTCATTGCTATTATCTATTATCTCTCTCTTTTTCCTCTCATCTCAGTGCGCTGAAAAATATTTATTTAGGTGAACAAATGATTCATTCTGTTTTCAACAACTCAACATTGACTTGAGTGTCATCTCAAAGGTCATAAAGAAATCACGTCATTGGTACAGACATGACACATGTATCTTAACACTGTGTTATTTGAGATTGTCACAAAAGTTAACAATATTAGTTAACATGTTGTAGTATTTTGGAGGAATTCCTTTTCAGTGACTTTTATTGCCTCCCTCTCAGAGTGAGTTAGGCAACAGAAATGAGTGATCGAAGACTTTTGAAGAATCCTTTACATTATTGCTTTTTTCTTTGTATTTTCCTTTTAATTTAGCCTTCAGTTAGAGATGTTTTCTTTTGTGTGTGTTCATCCTAACCTTCATTATTTTCATTTTTTGTTTTCGCTGGTGTTGAACAATACACTATGTGGTGAAGTGAAATATGGCACTTTAAATTAATGTATAACTGCTCTAGATTCTATTCGGTCAAATATAAACCTGTTGATTTAAAGATTTCTGAGTTACATTTAGCGTCTAATACAGTTGGCGTGAATATTGTCATACTATATCTTAGCTGACAGTTCTAGCGACAGAATGAACCTTGAATTATAAAAGAAAGCTGAAACACAATTATAAACTCCAACTTTTATACATTTGGTTATTCGTATTGTAACAACAGAAGACAAGGGCCAGGCAACAGATCGCTTATTGAGGAAATCAACACATGTTTATAGATTTTTATGTTCATTATTATAGATTATTGTTAGCAGACAAACACAGTTTTCTGATTGGTTGTTTCTCACTGAAAGTTAATCTTTCATCTCTTTGTGGCTGTTTCTTGAATGTCAGATCATCTAGATGCTAACTGTATCCGCCTACACAAATTCTGCTGTGATTAGTTGTTTAGTCAGTATTTGTTCTTGTTTTCACATGACCAATATTTGGGACACAAACATTGACGTAAATTACTGTCTACCAATTTGGCTAGCAGCCGGTTCTCAAAACAGTATCTCTAGTATAACCCACAATCTGAATTAAAGCAACTATGTTTATGCTCCTCCTCTGCGTATTTCAACACTTCACTGATTTTCAAGTATTGTTTTTTTTGTAGGGATTTTGTTTGATTGATTGGAGGGTTTCATCATGAGCTGACATCATTTAGAGAATTATTGGAAAATCTGGGAGTTATTCATTGAAGAAGACATTGCGAAGTGGTCGCGCTATGTCGAGAATTGGAAGAAGTTAGGATTTATGGGCCATTATATTGGGTCCCAGTGGCTTAATGGTCTACCTTGTAACCATAAGGTCCTGGGTTCGAACCTTGGTGGTTGGTGCGTACTGATGATGAGTCCCAAACTGGGATGAGACAGCTGTCCAGTTATCCGCGCAGGTTTTCCAATCGTTCTCTAACTGATGTCAGCTGAGGATGAAATCCTCCAACACATCACTGATTTAACTCTGATCTATGCTGAAACCTTCTATGAAATGAATCAGTTTTCAAAAACAACCTCAACTGTACTGTTTAATTTTTTTCAACTAATGATTTTCCCTCAATCTCCTCTGCATTTTTGATACTGTTTCCGTTTTCTCTCCAGCAGAGGATTATTTAGAGAAATTAACTAAACCGGATATGAATATATTAAGATCATCGGAGAAATAAAATGACAGTAATTAATGCAAGGAGATTCTGTTAATTTATTTATTTTATCATCTAAGGCAGGAAGATGAAAATTAATTAGTTTAGTTGTTTTTATTATTATTATTATAAACTTTTCTTTTAGTTTCGTTTTATGCTTATTTTATATCCACAATTGCATTCTGTATGATTACAAAACATTTACTATTTATAAATTTTTACTTAGATCATATTACTGCTAAGTAGTGTAAATTATTTTTATTTCAAAATAATAATAATAGTAATAGCATTTGTTCCAAATTTCCTAAGCAGTAAAGTATAAAGTAAACTGGAATACTGACTGAATTTGCCAACATGGAATACTACATTAAAGTGTAGCATAACAAGACTGTTGCACTTTCTAAAGTACACGAAGGCAGAGAATCTATAATAAACAGAAAATGCACAGGCGGAAGAACAGTTACATGAAGAGTAATGAGAAGTTTAGTAGATCTAGGAAATCACAAATAGTGAATGTATCTATGCTACTGAATGCGATTATGAACCGTGTCACCAATAGTCTGTAGCCACTGGTTTGTAGTGCCTTAAGGACTTCAGCCATTTAGTCTGCGCTTCCATATGTAGTTCAAACCAGAAATCAATTTGCTTCATGGATTAATGCTATTCGTTGACTTAACTACCCTTAACTCTTCTCCAGTCTACTCGTAAATCAGCTAATATTTCTCGATGAGTATGGCCTTGGCTTGGCATGCGTAACATGAGTCACAGGTATCTAAGTCGATATAGCTAAACAATCTCATCGAATGATATTTCCTCTCTACCTAGCACCCTAAGTTCAATATTACTGAACACACAATGCCACTAGACGCGGAAGACAGAAAGTAAACACCTATAATCAAGTGCCAGACGAGCCTTTTGTATCCGTGTTAACATTCCGTCAGCAGTCAACCCACTAGGCATGATGAGAATTCCCTAATAAGCAAAGGGATCAACATGCTCAACCATTTCATTCCTCATCTTTAAAGTGGGAGTCGGCGTAGACTAGTCCTGCAGCATCATTTTGCGTATGATAGGAGCGAATCGTATGCTAATTATACGATGATTTTGCTTGAAGTGTTCAGAGAACTCTCCGCACACTAGAATGAATCTATTGTATACATACAAAGTGTAATAGTCAGTTATTTTTATTAAGTTGGAATAAATGGTCTGAATGTTTATGGAATTACACTGCTTAAAGCAAAGGCTTTTCACAGAGCTTCATACGAACTTTTAACTTTAGGTATTGTATTGAAAGAATCTCCCTAAGAGGAATTGAGGATAACTTGGCGAAGAATTCATAGTCTAGATAAATGTTACGTAAGACAGAAAACTAATGAACGAGGCTGTGATGCTTCATCGACTGAGATATTTAGGACGCATTACGTGTTCTGAGCCTCTGCATTTTACAGTAAGCAATCTAAACTAAAGTAGAATTATGTTAGAATGTAGTGGAGATGGCTGGAACAAAAATTAGCGTCAGTCTTTGTGTCAGTAAGTGTTGGTCCGAGCTGTGTAATAAAGTATACTATGCATTGATGGGGTTTATAGCACACTACGATTAAAGTGTCGAAGACTCTTGATGAGGCTGTTGAAAATCGTTCGATGTAGTGCAGATGTATTCACTACTTGTTTTCATCTCCACCGATAACCCTAATTTAATTCTCCTTTTCCTGTGAGAAAGCGGTCATTTATAAAGAGGCAAAAGTAAATATGGGTAGAAAAAATTGAACGAACTGCTAAATTTAAATTAAAGATTATGACTCATACATTTAAAAGCGATGTTAGTCGAATGCTGGTGTGAAAATTGGTATTTGGTCAAAACTTCTCAATAAACTATAGATATTTGATTTATTTCAGAGAGGCATCTCACTGGCGAGTCCAATTAAGTGAAGGTGTCATCTTTCTTCAGTCATGTTTACTGACTCACTTTCTGTTACAAAAGTAGTTACGTGAGAAAAAAAACCCAGGAACAGTTTACTTTAAAAATATTCTTATACAAATATTCCCCTTTGTGTGACCACTTACCCTTGATTTCATTTATGTTGTGGATATGACATCTTTTGCTTGTTCTTTGTAATCATCTTCTGTACTCATCGACTCAATAAATTAGTATTCCTTCCTTTTTCCACAAAATATTTGTTTACTGTATTTCTTGTGACAGAAAATTTCTGTCTTGTCAACTTTCCCTATCAATATTGTTTACTCTGATATAATTTTCCACCTCTTCATGTTGATAATTTCCGCTTGTCATAGTTTCATTATTGAACGACAGCACGTTGTTTCTCCATTGTTATTTGACCTATTTTAAATTTAAAAATGGAAAGGGTTGACAACAGCTGATGAAACAAATAAAACTAAAGTACAAGCTCTCTCGGTTCTCATTAGTTGTACTGCTGAATATCGAAAGTCATAGGAAATTCCTCTGTGATAGTTATTTTTCTGCTATTTTTCGACTATCGAAAAAAGATAAGTTCTACTTATTCCATATTAGTTAGCCCCTTCATTTTTAAATGCTTATATCTGAACGTAACATCTCGTTTATTTGTGTGGTATTCAAGTTCGTTGTTAATTCACTCACGTAACAATTGTTTCATTTTATCACATTTTGTTTCATTTTGAGTCATTTTTTTACCAAGTTATTAATAGAAAAGAGAAGCTGCACTGCTAATAACACAATTCCGTTAGATACCAAAAACTTTATGTTATTCGCTTGATGATGACTAGGACTGGAATCCAGAGCTCATGTTTCATCCTATTTTGTACTCTTCATCTGGATGTGTCTGCCTTCCTAGTGTGTGATGCTGTTGCAACTGACAGTAGAATAGAATTAAGTAACTATAATATCAGATACTAAAGCATTATTAATTGGGCCACTAAATCCACTCCTTGTTCAACAGGTATTTATTCAAGTTATTTTGTATTTAATATCAACTTAATAACGTCATGTTAATTTTCAGACATCTTCTAAAGTGTTCACACTAGGGGCCCACATGCTAACAGAGACCGTACATTTCAGTCCAATAAAAATTAGTCAACAACAAAATACAGAAACAGACATATAATCAAAAACTTTACATAAATTATGGGTGTTATGCAATAGCTACTTCAAGCAAATTCAGTGAGGCTTTAAGAACATGAATCCACGAAAACCGTACATGAAAGGAACAAATAACTAATATCTATAGTTGGGTACCTATTTCCTGAAAGTGAAATCCGTTTATTCCC